TGGAGGAAGCGATCAGCAGCCGAGGGGCACAAATTACCAAAACAGTGTCGTCGACGGTGCTACGAAAAGGAAAGCGTGTCCAGCTTGACAATAGAAAAAAATCAACTTGTGTTGCGCATCCCGGCATAGGTTAACTATGGGATTACCCCCCGGGTCTATAATACTCGATTGTATGTCAAACATTCATTCTGATTGATGTTATCGTAAAGCGCCTGAATAGAAGAAGGGTAGAGTTACTAAAAAATGTTTATCTTTGACCCTTGTATGAACAATTAATCGCATGGAGGTAGCCAAATTTCTACCACTTTCTCCGGCCTGTACATCATGGGTTAATATTCTTGTTTTCTTAATGTTGAACTAGCTGGTCAGTAACTTTCTGCTACCGTCTGTTGGAAGGAAGTGTGAGTCAATCAAGATCTTACGAGTGCAACATGACGTGTTAATGGAGCACTTATCATTCAATGCATACCTCAACTTTTTAAGGTTGATACAGTCAAGATATCGACTACGACATCACGATCACATAATCGTTCGTTTGTCAGTACCTTTAAACTAACAAGGTCGCCTTCGGTGCAGAAAAGGGTCATGCTAAAGTTGATACGGTTAAGCTGTGGTGTCAGAGTGCGATTTGTTTTTTTTCTTCACCCACTGCACTAGCTTCAATGCCACAATTTCTCAAGAGAAAAAGAACACTGTGCCTGTATTTTTTTTCCAAACATCTTCCGAATCCCTTGAAACACTCACGAAAATTTTCGGGAATACTCTCTTCGCTTGTGCGTAATTTGCTCACTGAGTGGTCACCCCTATTGAAATAGTCGTGACATTTTCCCGCAACCCCGCATTTTAGAAAGTCTTATTTATCGTTTCTTTTCTGAACGTGCTGTGGAATTATGGAGGGAAAGTCTTTCTTAAACGATTATTACTTAACCCCCGGACGTACACGCAAATTCATACCCCCACAGAGGCACAAAGCGAAGTGGGGGGAGGGGGGGAAGGTGGTGATGGAACCCCTCCCTAGAGTTTTGATATGTTGCCTTCAGTGGAAAGCCTTTGATCTTCTCAACAAGATGAGGTATATTTTATGGGTGGTGGCGCTACTGGAGGCCTGTGACGTCACCAACAATGTCCCTCATCTTGGATTTTACCAAGAATTTGAAATCAAGTTAAAACCGCAAGAAGCGGTATTGTTTTGGTGTTTGACATATAAAATAACACATAAATAAGCACTTTGCATCATTTTATCCACAACAGTTACTTTTATTGTTGAGAGAAGTGAAGGAAACATATGCATTTTCACTCAAAAATGGCTTGACCACCTGCTACTTATGACTTCATGTCTCAGGTGCTGATAATTTATTGTCTAGGAAAAAACTCAGAAAACTTCAGAGGGGGTGGCAACCACCCCCTTACCCCTCCCCCCTCCCCCTCCCCCGTGTACGTTCGAGGGCTAATAGACAACTTCAAGCCATATATTTCGATCTTCGTTTGGGAGAATTATCAGCATACCAAGAAAACGACGCGCGGGTAACCTGAGACCGGGCCTAATTTAAGCGGTTCTCATACCTTCTCCCGAACGGCTACCGCTACTGTTTCGCCTTGCCCGCCGGAATGTAATTTTCAAAGCGAAAGGAAAATAGAGGCTGATCTCATGTTTACGCGCGAGTAATCAGAGATCCTTCGCGGAGCGAGGGTGGCTATAGTGAGACCCTCGCTCACCGCTATTTGCTCAATCGCTCAAGTACTCACAACTAAAAAGATTTTCAGTAAACCAAAACTGATTCCTTTCTCGTGGATAGATGTTAACATGCATTTTAAACTGAATTCCATACCTTTAAATAACATGTCACTCGCTGTGAATTGCAACGATGTTTTCGTCGATAGAACTAGTCTCCACGTGTTTTGGAATCGAAGGATAATTCACTCGGGAAAGCTCGGTGGACAGCTTTTGTCTATTATCATGGTAAACCGTCCATGACTGCTTGAAGAGATGAAGAATTCCTAGCCCAAAAGAACTACAAAACGCCATTTACGATCAGTGTTCGAACGCCATGTTACATATTCTTTCGCGGCAAAGGTGACAGGAAAAAAACTAATTGAATATTCATTTCAGATTAATTAGCAATTCAATGAAATTCTGTTATTTGCGTTGTCAGAAGGCGATTTGAATTCGTTCATGAGCAGTGAGAAAATTCTATAGTAAAGATCCAAGAAAAAAAAAATATATATATTTTGCGATATATAGTTGCTGGCTAAAACTCTTGTTTTACGAAATTAGAGCACTAGAAGCAAAAACATAATTTAAGAAAAACTGTAAAGGACAGAAAACAAATAAGCCGATGGACGTATACGTAGGATCTACAAGAGATATAATCAGAAAAATATATATGCCAAGTGAACATAAATCTGCTAAGCTGATCGTATTGCGTACAACAGAGAAATTATAACCTCGCAAGACAAACAAGACACCGATAAAACCCAAATAGAGCGGAGTTGCAGCCGTTGTCTTGTGTTCACGTCTTATTGTGGCTTATCAGAACAGCGTGCAGGAGAATATTTATAGGAAACAAGAATGTTTCAATTTACCGATAAAATCATTTATTTTATTGTTCATACTGCCTCCTTTATCACAAATAAAATTCGTAAGAATGATAAAAAATAAAAATAATATGAAAGAGACAATTAAAAAATAAATAAATTAATAAATAAACTTTAAGCAAGTATTTCCCTTCTTGTGCAAATTAATTAGATTAATGGACGCCCTATGATCCTCCGCCAGGAACCATGTTTAGCGGCTGTGACTCAGTGTCTTGCGACTGTCGAAAGCAAACAATTTTCTTTGTTAAATGTACATTATTGTGCAGAGGAGTAGGCTTTCCTTCCCAGCTCCTTGTAGACCTTTTTCGTGATCTAACCTACCATATATGACGGCATATGGCCAGTCCCTGGTCAACACAGGCTTGTTTATTCTCCTTGTTATTTTTAACATCGCCTATGGCTGGCAAGTCATGTTGCTTTTAATCACGAAACTCTTTTGCTGTGGCCAAAGGGAATCTACTAACCTAAATGCAAAATCGTGATTACCACATGTTTTTTTTACAAATGGTTAGGTCCTTTACATTATACATCACAATAACTGATATTAACCTCAAATAAAAGTTATGTTTTTTTTTCCCCTCTGGAAAAGACTTAGGAGGGTAGGGTAGGTTGTTGTTTGTGAATGAGCAAAACCGTGATTTTCAAACCATTTTTCTTTCAAAACTTGCGCTAAATTAGCATTAGCAAGGGAAAAGTGAAGTTTATTATTCAGACAAAAAATATGAAAGGAGAATCAAGCAAGTGAGCCAGGAAAACCGCTAAAGTAAAGCAAAACAGGCGGCTCGTGATGTCGCTTCACTAGCTTTATAACCGCGCTGTAAGTACAGCAATCATGCTTTTATGCACCGTTTATTGGACATTTTTGCTATGTTTGTAGTTTTGTTTTTTATCGTTTTCTGTACTTTTTTCCTACGGCTTTTAATAACAAGTTCATCAATTCTTTTATCCCTGTTTCACACTCAGATTATGAATTGCCTTCCAAGACAAAAAAACTTTCTTTATTCTGCAAGAGAGCTAAATTGTGATAATCTAAATTACCGAGCTAAGAATCATGTTGTAATATTTTGCTTTGGTTTGCAATGGATCGCGTCAACACGAAACACACATAGGGTGGAGGCTGACTGAGGAAAATTTTCCTGAAACTTTTAAATCTCAGTAGGAAAAAAATAAAAAAGATTATTCACTGGCTTTGGTCGGTCCGTATTGGGAGAAACAATGCCTTTGTTCTGAGTACTCAAGACCTCGGGCACAGTTTCTCCCAATACGGACAGACCGAAGCAAGTGAATAACGTATAAATAATTTTGCAGTCTACACAAACTGCTCGATGCGTGTTGTGTATTGACCTCAAAAAAGTGTTAGAAATGAAAAATGTGCAACAACAACAATTTTTTTTTTATTTAAGACAGCATGTGGTGTGACTGGACTTTCTTTGTAACGTATGACTTTACTAAACAATATTTTCACAGGTACAAGGAAGTGTGCATGTTCAAATTCAAATATCCCAGATGGAATTACGACATAAGGCATTTTATCCAGGAGGAGTGTAGAGTGTTGAGCTGGGAATAGGAAAAGCAAGAGGGAAGGTGTATCTATGTTGTGGGCTGCTATCGACCGCTCAAAAACATGACGGACATCGTCAGGGAAAATGTTGCCGGAAGCTTTGATAAAAATTATTCTACTCAGCGGTAAAGGTGGTAGTGGTGTTGGTGTTGGAGGAGGAGGAGAAGGCAGATGGCGCTCAAGAGTGTGGACACCAATGGGGGGAGGGGGAGATGATAATGGATCAGGATGTAGGCCTGTGGGGAACGAAAAGGCTGGCGTCCTGTAAAAAGGAGCACTCGGAAGAGGTCAACGCCAAGGTCGTGGATCAATGCAATGTGGAAAGAATAAATTAGGAGAAATGGCATAGTCAATTCAAGAACCTGAGTAATACTTAAAAGATGGCTGCGTAAAGGCGTGTATGTTTAAGATGCTTTGAAAATATTGAGAGAATGAAGCCTCAAAGGAAACGTATGAAACTTAACCTATGTTTTTGTAAGTCACTGTTTTCAAGCGTTTGGAATTCTTCGGCGACTTCAGAAAGACGCGTTTTAAATATGAGTGATACTCAGTCCATTTAACAATCTAATTCCTCTTCAGAAGAGAAAAGAGGAAAAGCAAAACAAAAAGAAAAGAAAAAGAAATTTGCTTGCATTTTGATTTTTTAGAACTAAAAAATCATAATACCAATGCAACCGTGCAAACCAACACCCTTCTGTAACAGACCCAGTGGAACACACAATGAAACCCTACCCTACCCAGTGATATTTTGGCCTCTTCGGTGTCTGACAAATAGTTTGTTACTACCTGGCTAATATTTTGCTTCCTCGGGCACTTTCTATTGTGACTTCTACAAAAAAAGTACACATCTGAGGGATGCAGGTACTTGATATTGCATAAAAAAGTGCAAATCGTTTAATTAGTTATTCTACCTACAGCAATATGTAAAAGGTTTTCAAAGGTTTCATACCGGTAGGGATGTAAGGCCTGCCACCCCTTTTAGCTTTTATGGGAGATTCAAAACTAAGAAAAACAGAAAAATAAACCAACCTGGTGACGTTTTCTCCCAGAACCCGGTGAAGATATAGATTCCACTGGGTCTGTTACACAGGGGTGTAAAGTGCGCACGATTTTCTCACCCGCTCAAAGTAACACCAAAACGATTCTTAGTAAACTAATTTTTTGGCGCGTGTTGTAAACTGAGAACTTGAAAAGGGAGATAAGCTAATAATGATAACGATAATGATACTGTACGAGATAGTATGGCGGCACCACAAGCTAGCCGATATAGCGTGAGTGGAAATATATATCTGGTATATTGAGCATAGCCTAAAAGGAATCTTTTTAGAACTATGTAGTTAATTCTTCAAGGTTGTAAATAAATAGAAAGCAATGCTGAAAAAAAAAATATCAAGAAACCTTGATCAAACAGTAGAAGCGATTCCTTCTGGTTGGATTTTGTCTAGGTGGGATGGAAAACAATTTATTAATATTTATTGATGTCCAAGCCTTGCCAGTGCCATTTTGTTACCCTTGTTTCTTCTCTCTAATAAGAAGTATGAAAAATTAAGCTTGAATATCTGAGTCACCGGAGTCTAAAAAGGCATATTGTGTTTTTATATGGGTCGATGAGAACCGATGATAACTGACAAGAGTGATACATTCACTTGGCAGTCACGTGGTATAAACTGCTGTTCGGCTGATTATGCAAACCGTCTGTATGGAAGAAAAACATACACTGGAAAGCCCTTTAAAGATTTTATTGTTTTGGAAATTTGAGATATTTTGACAGGACATATCGATCGATTCAGCATGTGTAAGAAAACATATTGCAATTTGTTTACCTTGTTTATTGGTATTTAAACACCTTTTATTTCACTTGTTTATAGCGCAGACATTCTTCAATCAATCGACTCCATTCATCACATAACTGTAAAAAAAACCAAAACGGATTTGAGTCCCCGGTCAGGTTAAGCTAGAGATGCCAAGGAGTAAATTTTAGTTTTAGTCCGGCTTTGCTCATGGTTTTAAATCTTTCGTTCCTGTTTTTGGGAGTACTGTGTACTTCTGGTAAGTCCCTAGCCGACAAAGATATATGACTGTAAAAACGTTATATTTTTAACAGCCCTGATTCCACGTCAGAACTGATAATCAGGGAAACGAATTAGGTGTATAGCTAATGTACACAGCAAGAAAAAAGGCTGCCCCCTTAAAGCGAGCGTCTTCGCAAATACAGTTGTATACACGTAACGCATTTTAGTGTACTAACAATTTTCAGTATTTCAACACGTCCATATTTATACGAATGGTAGATTGCAATCATTTAAATATTTAACACTAAGAAATCTCTTAAATAACTTTCAGTAATCTTGATAACACATAACCTTTTTCTTTCAGGAATCCGCATAGTCTTCGGTAAGATGAAAGTGTTTATAGGCGATCATTAACTGCGTTTCTAACCCTGCCCCTGGCCAGCAGCAAGCTCTCCACGGATGGTTGACACTCAAAAACTGTTTTTTCTAAATATCCCTTAGAAGTAACAAATATAGCCTTAAATTTTCTGTATCTTGAGGGCAGCTAAAAATTTCAAAATGACCGTTACATTTATATACGATTTTCGAAGCTTATCTAACAAATTGTTTTATTCCCTACGATTATCTGAAGTTCAGTTTTTCCCATTTCCCTCAAAATTTAAACTATATTTCGTGGAAAAAGAAAAACTATAATTTTCCGATTCAAAGATGTGATGGTGAGAGGAATCAGAAAAGTTCTGATACCTTATTGCATCTAAAATTTTCTGTGGAATAATACTGTGGGCCTTTTTATATCGAAAAGGCTCAGGTTGCCCTTGGATGACCGAACAGACATAAATTTACTAGCACCCCTTTGAGTTCATTTCTGGACAATCTACTAGTACTGTATATGGCCTAAAAACTCTTTTCAATATATTTACGAGTAAGCCATCGTTTGGTGCCCCTGATGAATATTGTCGTGATAGGTCACGCGCGGGTTACGCGCAAAAAGTGTGCAAAAGTAAACAGGAAGAAATGAAAGGAGTCGATCGTCCAAATTCCCTCGCCTGTCGAAACTGAGCTTGCTTGCATGCTAGATAACAGCTCCCAAGAGAAGTAGCCATTGCCCAAATCACACACAAAGGAATATTCCCTTATTCTAGATTCCACTCTTAGAATTTAAGGCTGATTCACGGGGGGATTCCAAAAAGTTTAATTTTATACGAGGAGGTTCCGCGCCCATGTCCGACCCCATTCGCTTTTATTTACCTGGAAAAATACAGCGTCACGTTTCGTATACCTGCAATTGACAAATGCTATCCCTTTCACATTTCTAATTTAGAACATCTCTTTCAACCACTGTAAATGCACTGCCTCACAAGTATGAGTTAATCGCAAAACCAGAACAATTTCTCGTCTTTTTCTCAGCCATGAAATGCATCTGTTACATCTTTGAGCCTTTTTACCAACCAAAATGACAATTTTCCCCACCTTTTTCTATATCGTATTTCAACAAGTGCAATCTCTATCTTTTCAAATTCCTAAAGCCTGAAAAAGGTCTCCCTTTCGGGCGGAGCCTCCCCGTATAGGCCATTATAGGGATTATCCACCTTCCTGATGTCTAACACATACTAGACGCCAGCAGAAGCACGGTTACTTGCCCCAGAACCTCTTTGATAAAATCAGGAAAAAAATCATTCTTAATTCTAGATGTTCTGAATATCATTTGAGTGGGAGTAGGTGAGAAGGCTGACAGCTGAGGATTGGCCAAATTATGCACTTACGCCCATGTGAACGTTGTGTGAAAGAGCTGCTTTATTGTGTTTCAGCTGAACACCTTCCGAATGAATAAAAGTGAGTGAAAGAGGTTTAAAGTCCTCAAGCCACTCAAGATATAACTACCTAATTAAATATGCATATTTTGTAAAATGCTATTTAAACCGGTTTGCTTCCATCAGTGATCCTGAAAAGTGAACTTCAAATGTGGCTCAATGAAAAAAACACGTAAAACGCGATTTCAAATAACACGTGACATCAAACAGTAGAAGCGATTCCTTCTTGTTCGATTTTGTCTTAGTGGGATGGAAAACAAGTTATTAATATTTATTGATTCCCAAGCCTTGCCAGTGCCATTTTGTTACCCTTGTTTCTCCTCTCTAATAAGAAGTATGAAAAATTAAGCTTAAATATCCGAGACACCGGAGTCTTTAAAGGCATACTGTGTTTTTATATGGGTCGATGAGAACCGATGATAACTGACAAGAGTGATACATTCACTTGACAGTCACGTGGTATAAACTGGTGCTGTTAAGCTGAACCGACTGAAAGCGAGCTACACCTGAGAAAAACAAACATGACAAATAGAAATAAATCAATAAAACTTGAAATTTTCCCACAGAAGAACGTGATTTCACACACAAAATGTATTCTAATTATGCAAACCGTCTGTATGGAAGAAAAACATACATTGTGTAGAGGGGGACTTCTACAGACTTTAGGATTACGTGATAAGAGGTAACACAACCAGAGTTTGGCAGTTGACGATGGTTTTAATCTTTCCGTTGAAGTTACAAACTCCTCTTAGCTATCTCGGATCTTAAGGCATAACTGAGAAGTTACTCACAAGAGGTTCTATTTATATTGAACGATTAAGTTAAATGATTTTTTTTACAGTTTTACATGGCATTCATATGCAAGGAAAAGGTGTTAGTTAGTGTCAGAGTTTAGAAAACAAAAGGAACTGAAATTGACTTGATTCCCGCTACGCGTGGAAGAAATATGCAAAACTAGAAATATCTCTATACCCAAATCCTTTACAGGGAACCAAAACGATAGTTTGAAAGACACTTAATCTTTCCAAGATTGTGTCGAAAGAAATTCTAGTTTGAGGTCAGAAAAGTAAGTGAAATTTGGCTAAAACTGGTTTAACAGAGAACAAAGAACTCGAAAGGTGTTAGGACTCGTGGCCTTAGGTTAGATTTTAATGAGATAAGGAAATCTGATTATGATTCAAGTTTGAAAGCGAAAGTGAGAACCAACTCCAGGTTTAAGTAAACGAACTTCGTTAACATGAAACGCTTATTTTCCCATTCCACAGCTGAATACATCTACCTATTTCTATCTTTTGAACTTGTTTCTGTGTTTCTGAATAAGCTTGAAGAGGTGTTTCTTAACCTCAGTTAAACCTTTAGTTAATGTTGTGAAAGACTGAGACTACACTTATGATGTTTTCTGCAAGTACCGTGCGTCCAACTTCTATTTTTGATTGATCCCAACACCAAAGAGGTCGGTGCAAAAATCTTTTAGCAAAGGACTTGACTGACCAGCAAAGATTTGCTACTAAAATCTAAAGTGTATCCAGCTGTTGTGACAGCTTGTAAACACCATCCTTTGTCCCTTAACAAAAGCTATTTGAGATATGGTGGAACTTTTGATTTCTGAACCGATCTAAAAACAAATTTATTTATATAATATATATCCCTGAATAAAGTTAAAATGCCCAACACCGAAATAAATAGAATAAACTGAATAAATATTAATGATTACGAAGAGAAGCGCATACAATAAAGCAGACTGAGCAAAAATGTACCCGGCTAACAATTGGAAAGTCCTTTAAAGATTTTATTGCTTTGGAAATTTTGACATATTTTGACAGGACATATCGATCGATTCAGCATGTGTAAGAAAACATATTGCAATTTGTTTATGTTGTTAATTGGTATTTAAACACCTTTTATTTCACCTATTCACCTGTTCATAGTGCAGACATTTTTCAGCCAATCGACTCCATTCATTAAATAACTATAAAAAGACTTAAACGGACTGGAGTCTCCGGTCAGGTTAAGCTAGACAGGCCAAGGAGTATATCCTAGTTTTAGTCCGGGATTGGTCATGGTTTTAAATCTTTCGTTCCTGTTTTTGGGAGTACTGTGTACTTTTGGTAAGTCACCCATAACAAAGACATTTAACCATGAAATTGTCCTCAGTGTAAGGGACTTTTTAACGTTATTTTATATGCACTGAGAGGATAACATCGCGCGCAATGACCAAGGCTAAAACAGTTAGAGAAGACTTTCAGTCAACTGCTCTTTGGTCGACTGATGATGATGATGATATACACTGAAGCCTGACTTCTCAAGGGAAAACTCGTTACAGTTTACACTTGCTGACAAAGATAAATGACTGTAAAGCCGTTATAATTTTTAACCGCCCTGATTCCACGTCAGAACTGATAATCAGGGAAACGAATTAGGTGTATAGCCAATATACAGAGCAGGAAAAAGACTGCCCCCTTAAAGAGAGCGGCTTCGCAAGTATACACGTAACCCATTTTAGTGTACTAACAATTTTCAATACTTAAACATGTGCATATTTACACTACTGGTTGATTGCAATCATTTAAATATTTAACACTAAGAATCTCTTAAATAACTTTCAGTAATCATTATAATACATAATCTTTTTCTTTCAGGAATCCACATAGTCTACGGTAAGATCATGTGAAAGTGTTTACAGGCGATCATTAACTGTGTTTCTAACCCTGCCCCTGGCCAGCAGCAAGCTCTCCACGGATGGTTGGCACTCAAGAACTGTTTTTTCTAAATATCCCTTAGAAGTAACAAATATAACCTTGAATTTTCTGTACCTTGAGGGCAGCTAAAAATTTCAAGAGATGACCGTTACATTTATATACGATTTTCGAAGCTTATCTAACAAATTGTTTTATTCCTTACGATTATCTGAAGTTCAATTTTTCCCATTTCCCGGTTTGCTTCCATCAGTGATCCTGAAAAGTTAACTTCAAATGTGGCTCAATAAGAAAAACACGTAAAACGTGATTTCAAATAACACGTGACATTGCTTCGTTAGTGACGTCACAGAGCACGTTTTCCTTAACGGGGGAGGGTTCCAAACCTTAGTCTTGGGAATTTTCACCACCAAACTGTTACATAAACAGTGTAAATCGTAAATCGCCTTGTGTGGTTGGAAATTAGCAGTTTTGCTAATTAACAAGTCACACGACCCTTTTTTTCCTTTATTTACAGATTCCTATATAGCGTAACACACATACAAGGCGAATTTTTCAGCACCTTTTAATAGCCTCTAAAATGTACCTAAAAGAACTTGTTGCTCTTTTATTATCCTTTCCCCATAGTAAATATTTTGACCGTCAATTCTCGTGACGCAAATTTGAACTCGTAAAATGTCTCACATTGCTAATGCCATTAAGCTTCATTAGTATTCCAATTTTCAGGATCAATAATAGAAACAAACCGTTCTAAATAGTATTTTCTCAAAATATGCATATTTAATTAGGAAGTGATGCCTTAAGGTGGCTCGACTGGTTTTTTTTTGGAGGATACCTCCCAAGTTTGAGCATTAACTACGTCAGCATGAGTAAAGATATGGGAAAAAGGTTGCACAACTGTCTTATATAAAGTTGAAAATTTCTTATGATGTGGGTTTTATTGCAATCGAAGTCGTCATGGCAACGTAATGACCCCATTACGTTTTTTACTTATCTTTGTGTTTCTCTCTACTAGGAGTTTTTTTGAGAAATCGCTTAAAGGAGTATGTACCTGCCATAATTGACTCAATTATGGCAAAGTTTCAACAAATTCTATGAGAGCGTTTTGGAAATATTTTGAAACAAAGTTTTAAGAATCATAAAAACAGTGAAATAGCATGCTATCCACACAATTAGCTAATATGTTAAAAAAATGACAAGCTTTGGAACCTTTGCTTCATCTCATAGGGGTTTGATTCCTTTGAAAACTGCGTACAAAAAAGAGGGGAATTGCTCAGGGCGATCACAAGTTAGCAGAATTTTATTAACTTGCATTCAGCTGCTTTTGTCACAGTTTTTGCACGTAATTTGGTCCATGCCTATAAATTCCGCATTATTCAAAACACCGCTTGATAACTCAATCCATTGTAATTATACGTAAACTCTGAACAAAACATTTTATTACATAAGGTTTCCACCTCTACGTTAGGTCAAGCCCTCTTGTTGCCGCTGCCATGCCATTAACGCTGATCAATTCATAGCTCTGTAAGGGTTTATCATTTTACTAGCAAAAAAATGACAGTTGTCAACTGATACGTTCTGAGTACCTCTGAGCACTCTATGCATCTCGGATAATTGTCCCACGCATTCCTGATGTTGTAAATGACGGTAAAACATGTATCCTGTATTTAGCTTCCTTTGGGGGTGAAGGTTTGAAGGCTCACAACAAGTACCGCTGGATCCATAATGCACCAGCCATGAGGTTGAATGACGATATGAGCCAGCAGGCCACAGCTTATGCCGGGCGGCTTGCACGCATGGGCAAACTTCAGCACTCCAGTTCCAGTGAGAGGCCAGGTCAAGGCGAGAACCTTGCTATGTTATGTGGCTCTGGAGGCCTCTCGGCGCAAAGAACTATTGAGATGTGGTGGGTATTTTGATGCTAATATACATTTTTCATACTACACATTCTACATGTACAGGAAAGGAAAGTATTACACCTTTAGGCGCGTTCTAGAAGTCTGCACATCGTTATTGCGCATGTCATTCTTTCGCAAGGTCTCGCCACTCTATCCATCGGAAAAGAGTCGTAAAAATCAAAGTTTTGTCCCGATATTTTTATTTCATCCAGCAGACTACCATTATGGAAGTGTTCAGACTGAATTCGTTTTAAAGGGGGAAAAATTTGATTTGCCCTTCACAGTTCTCATTAATAGTATGCCTTAGCGGTTTAGATCAGTGTCGGCGCCCGCGCGTATTATACACTAAACAGAAATGCAGTAAAACACCAAACCGATTGTGAAAATCAATTGACCACGTTCTCTTGGAGTGTCCGACGGACAATTTTGCAGAGAGGATAGAAGTTTCTTTTTCTTAAAAGTCGACTTTTAGGCTTTGCAAACAATACAAACGAGAATTTCAGCTATGAAGGGTCCTAAAACGCGAATGCTAACCTTCAAATAATAACTCTGAACTTCTGAAATGGTTGGTTTGCGGTTAGATTTAAGGCTGATATGTTGGTTACTAGTAAGAACAAGCGTATCTCTTCACTAAGCGACTTTTTGTACGCAAGTTCTACACATGACCTCCAACATGGCCGTTTAGTCACCTGTTAGCAAGCCAAGGAGGCATCAACGACACTACAAAAGTCACGAAAAATATGAGAATCTCGACAAATCTCATGGCTGTCGCAAAAATATATTAATGGATTTTTAAAAAATTTCACTTACGCAAGGGCATCACAAAAAAACCAAAAAAGGACTTTCTTTCTAAACGTACGACTGTGCTAAACTATATTTTCAGAGGTATAGAGAAGTGTGTGAGTTCAACTTTAACAATCCCGGATGGGATTATCGCACTGGGCACTTTACCCAGGTGGTGTGGAAAAAGAGTGTGGAGCTGGGAATAGGAAAAGCAGTCTCAAGAGGGTGTACCTATGTGGTTGCCCGCTATAAGCCTGCAGGAAACGTGCTGAACAACTTCAGGCAAAATGTTGCAAAGGGAAGGTTTAGTACGAGCTATTGTCGTCGTGGTTGAGGCGGTCTCTAGGAGGTAACAATGGATGGAGAAGACGTAGACGCTGAGTTAAAGAAATCCAGGCTGCTTGTAACAATGAGAGTCAAATAAACACAGTATAAGAAAAACACATTTACCTTGCATTGTCTCAGATAACCCTCTAGCCTTAAAGTGGTCCGACAGGCCAACAATCATTATGTTTGTATTGAAAATGGATAACGAGTCCTCGCCCTTGAGTCCAACAACACTCCAATCCTTTCAAACTTAACATTCGCACAGAAAAAAACAACGTAAACAAACAAACATGTCTATCTTTTAAGTTTCCGTAAAAATATACCCAGTTTTCATTTGACTTTGGCACAGATGGCTGGTTGAATAAATGTCATTTTTTTAAGTTCAATGAAGACGTGTGATCACGCTTTGTCTCTAGGTCTAAAAGTGTACAAAACAAGAGGATTTCATTTGACGTAACACGGATGTAATTCTTTTGTTTTGGGTGTTAAAGAATATTGGGGTGAACAGTTTTATGCCTTGGATTAGCAAAAAGCTAAACGAGCTGAGCAGTTACAATAATTAAATTACATTTTATAAAGTTGTGACAAACGAAAGATTAGAGGAAGAATATCTTAAATTTAGGAGAAAAAAATAGTAATGAAAAATAAATAAGTTGATTTAATTAAAATATAATAGAACAACATAAAACAACAACAAACAAACAGAGAAAAACAAAACGGTACCAGAGAATTATAAAGTTTACATTAATAAGGGTAAGTCATACATGCTAGCCAGCGTCAACAGTAAGTGGATAGAAGACCTGCGTTCATCGTTTAATTTGTTCGAATAAATGCAAAAAACTACTCTTTAAATTTTCAAGCCCTTTCTCTGCTTTCATGCGATGAGAGCTCGTCAAGCGAGTTTTAATGAAAACTCAGTCCATTTACGTTTTGTCATATGCAAAGGAGAAGAAACAACTGAAAAGGAATAGAAATTTGCTTGCAGCACCCGAAGGTTGCAGCGATCAGTGATTACCTGGTAAGTCTTTATAATCTACTTGAAGACAAATCGATCTGCTTGGACCTGAAGGCTGTGACCTTCGACGCTCGTGAACCGGAGAGATTTCAGCAACGCTACATTTTTCTTTGGTTTCGAAGCGCAGAGAACTGAACATGTATGTACTGAGTTGAGCTGAGTCAAACTGGATTGCTTGTTACGGATATAATTAGCTCCAAGCGGCCCCTACAGCAAAGTACTTTGCAACTGTCTTTAAGGATGTTAATTTTGTTATTTCCCCTAATTAGACAGGTCCAAGCAGACAAGATCTATTTTTGTCCATATAACAAGCCAGTCCTTCAGTTTTCAATTTCTGTTTGTCGTAGCTCGCCCATTGCAAAACGAAGTACTATGTTAATATCCATCTTCATCATGCTTTGCTTGATCTTGGTCAATCTTCTGCACGCTTAGGAGCTGTTTCAGGGGTTTTGTAACTCGTCTTCCGTCTCGGGTTTTAGTTTTATGTCAGTACCCAGGTCAAGTGCTCTTGAAAGATAAGTAAATAACAAACAGGATTTTCTGTTCCATTGTTGTGCCTGTTCGATCGTGACCCAGGATCTTAAGAACACGCGTACACAGAGGGTTCGAAATCAATAGCATAACCATCTCCCTTTTCTGCTTTATCTGACGTCACGCCCCTGCTTTGGAGACTAACAACGATATATGTCACGAAACATAGCATACAGCATGTAGGGTTGCATTGTGAAACACCTATCACGAACTCTAAAACGGGAGATGACCTTTGCAAAACGGCTTTGAATTGCGAAGTAGTTTCATAGTACTCAGGGAACACCTCTGATTTGGTTTAGGCCAGGCTCCACCCAAAATTTAGAGTTATGTAGCCGAATCTGCCCTCCTAGCCACACAGAACTTGCATCTAAACTACCCGAGTATGTCCCTTGTGAGTCATATACCCTATTTCGAGGAGTTATAGTTCTTATTAGTTATTCCATTTCGTAAGCTTCCCTTTAAGCCCCTTACAATTCTAGGGAGATAAAATCGAGGCTGCGAGCTTAGCTTGACGTAATGTTTACGTAATTTTTTTAAATAGCCTTTTAAGTTCAGCATCTGGATGTAATACCCTGCTGCGAGGCTTTCATTTAACCCCTCTCTTAGGCTAGTTAACCAAGTTGTTTCTGTTTCAAAACCGGCAAATCATGACAAACCGCACGGACCTCAAGATCTAATAAAGCATGTTATTTAATGTTATTTTTATCTACGGGTGATCTTCCTCCCTTACTAAAGCCATTGTTGCTGAACGCTAAGCGAGGCTAGCGTACGTGAGAGAGAGGGGTCATCGATAACGGCACTGCTGTGATTACACAACTCGATCGCGTTAGCACGCGTGAAATCTCCTGATCACGTGCGCAGAAAATCAGAACAAGTGTCAACAAACTGGTTTTTGGAGGCAGTGCTTGCCGCATTGAAGGACTTATTTTAATGAGCGTTCATGAGGAGCTTGTCCGCGCGTATTCCTGCCATTCTGAGTAGTGTACTTTTTCTTCTGTGTATACCTCTAGTATTATTGAAGACATAAAACGATTCAGGATACATCACACTGGCTAAATGGCATTTTCAAAAGCTACGAGCTCTACTTTTGGGCTACTTTTATCCGTTCTCATCAGTTTTCAGGTAAGTTAAGCTACCGTCAACTTTTCTTTAGATAAGTAATACGTCCGCAGAGAAAAATCCTTTGCAACATTTTGTTCGCGCGCATCTTTATAGACTTTGAACTTGGCACCGAATATAATTTATAGTTTGTATCTCATGTATCTTTATATTTCCGGGCCTTTTGTAATTTGCAGTAGTCATGCCTTTTTAATAAAATTTCCATTCAGTTTATTGACAACTATCGTTGAAAGGATGCTTATATTCGCTCTCTTCCTATTCGTAAAACACAGCCTCCAAACTCTTTTACACGAGTTGAAGATGAGAATTTCATTGATTAAGTTACTGCCCTCTGGGCACCTCTATACTTTGCCGGGCCTAACCTGTTTGTTACGCTCTCTGTGAGGTCTGCGGATAATTGGTTGATATTCGATAACTTTTCCTGTTTGTGACCGAGGCCATTCTAAATCAATTTAAAAGAGTTACATTCCTTCCATAACTTAAAAACCGGATGTTTTAGTAGCCTTTGAAAATCCTCGCTGTTTCAAGCTGTATTATTTCATTTCCTAAACCTAAAGTTGTCAATAAAAGTTGCTTCGAGGCAGATAACGTGCCATAATGTTCAATACAAGCCAGAACACAGATGCTCTACCTGCCAAAAAGAACGTGATATAATGCTCATAAACATTTAAGCTGCATTGGATAGGTTTTCAACAAACTACAATGTAGTTATAACAAATATACTGACTTTTGTAAACGATTTCCGCCTGGTTTTTGAGGCGGTCCAAATTCAGCTCTGTTGAACAAGTGTCCGGAAAGAAGAAACGAAGGGGAAGAAGTAAAGGTAAAATGAATTTTAAACGCAAGCCTAAGAGGAATTTTTCGTTAATTGCATTAAAACAAATTCTTAATATAAAAACCTAAAACTGCAAATTTTCAGCCACCTGTCCTAGAACTGTGATGTGCCTTGTAAAGTACTTCATGGCCCGAAGAAGGGGTTCAAGGGGATGCGCCATTAACCCTTTAACGCCTAAGATCTGACTAGTAATTCTCCTCTCTGGCTGCTATTCGTTTCCTTGTACATTATTTAAGAGAATCTGGGGTCATATCAAGATATCATCCTCTAGCTGATACATTTACTTATTCTCATCACCTGTCTGCCGGACAATGTATTAAAATTACAAAGAGATTACATGCAGATCACTTCTGGGAGTCAAAGGGTTATATTTGTTAGACTCTAGACCTTTTCGAGTGAAAACAAAGATGAATTTGTGACCCCACTCCATGAAATAAAAGCGCCAATGTATTGCAGAGTGTTTTTTCCCTGACTCAGTGATAAGGTTATAAAGGAGGTGGGTTATTTGGTCATAACTTGATCCAGAATAATCAGTTTTAATATAACAACAACAACAACAACAACAATACCTTTATTCGCCTTGTACTTAATTGCATACATGAAAGAAAGAAAAAAAAATATTTATTTGTACTTAATAAGGCCTGGAGCTGAAATAATCCTAAGATTTTCTAACCAGTTCTCCAGAATTTAAAGTTCTAGAGAATTTAGATAGAATTTATTTCCAAAGAAGCAGTTTTGAAATACGTTGTTCAGATTGTCTAACTTTCGTTCTAAGGGTTCTATCGCTTCTTTTAAAAGATTCTTAATCTCTTCTTGTGTAATACCCATTTTTGCGCCGTTTTGGACGGAAGGTCGTTCAAACCCGACCGACCCACATCACAGCAAATGCAAATCTCAGAGAAAATAAAGCCCCATTACTAAGAGAAAGGTGATTTTGATATCCTGTTACTAAGACAGAAGAGCGAAAAGGACACCTTGTTTAATACGACATGAGTACAACCCCAGCTGAAGGTGATTTTAAAGGCCTGGGGAGAGGTAGTCTGCTACACTGCCGTTTCCCCCCTAGAGGAGCGTTGCGTGACGACACTTAAAACGGCTGTGTAATAGACTAGGGGAGAGAGGGCTGCCCTATTAGATTGGCGGGGTGCTCAAGAGAAAATTCTTAGCACATTACTAAAAGTTACCACAAAGCCGCTTGATAGGGGTAGCTCATTTCGTTGAACTCCTAAGCGCGCACTGAACAGGTAAAGGAGCAACAAATAGTTTCCACCTTGTTTGGCTCGAGCTCTTTAATGACCACGAAAGCCTCAATGATGGTCGTCCATTAAAGAACCATAAGCAAGAACCAATCTAAAATTAGGTAACGTTTTTTTGTAATTTGCAAGCTGTCAGTCCTCTTCGTGGATTGTTCCGTGACCCTGAAACCGTGAGGTCTTCTAAAGACTTAAAGCATTATTGCACACGAGTAATAAACGGTATTTATGCTTGCAAAAGTGCAATTTTTTCGAGCTAGTGTTCATTTCATGTCGGAAGTTAAAAAAGCAAGATTAAGATTCGGCTTATTAGGTTGTCCTAAGCAGCGAAAATATTTTTTTATCTTTTGGGGAAATATCAACTTAAATCTTTTTGTGAGTTTAACCTGGCCTTTGAATTAGAAAAATATCCGGTCTTACCAGGACAATATATGAGTCCAGTTCATGTTGACTTAAGAAAGACTTTAACCTATTCCTGTTTGAAAGATAAACAGGATACAAACAGTTAAAAAGATTAAAAGATGTTTTTTTTCAAATCCAAGACAAATATCTTTTTTTTTGTTAAAAGTACATTTAATGTCACAAATTGAAAGAAAATGCCAAAAAAAGTCTTGTCCTCCCCCAAGTTTATCTCCGGAGGGCGGCTTCTTGAATCGCTCGAGAAGTCGGTCTTTCAGCTGACAGTAATGCTTCCGGACAGCAGTCACGCACCAAAAGGCAGTGTCAAATAAATGGTGTTATCCGCTTTGTAGTTTCATACTACCTTTCTTTTTATTGTATCACGTTTTCTCAAGTAGCTTGGAGTAATTTTTCAATTTAAAAATCAAGAAAATCAATTGACGAAAAAGTAACGGACAGTACTTGCATATGCTTTAGTTGTTGCACATGAAGGGAGCCAATTTCTTGCATATTCCTCTTGAAATTTTTGTTCGCAGCACCGAAAGAAAAACTTAGACTTCATTTAGACAACCATAGATCTATCTGCAACAATCTGCTTCTTAAGGAAATGATTTTGAGATACTTAGTGATTGTCTTTTCATAGTTAAAGTTTACTGTTCATTTGCTCGTTTGTAACGCTGTAATAATTAAGTGTAGCTCTTTTTTAATGTCCATAAAGGTACTCATATCAGGAGTTCCAGGAGGTAAACTATCCGTTCTTTTGAAGAGCTTCTCAAATCCCTCCAACGTAGACCTAAACGGGCAATGTTGTGACGCAACATGCAGGAGCTGTGATTACTATTTAAAGATTTGTCTGAAGCAAACTTCTGGAGGATCTTGTGTTGCTTATGCAACTACAAAAACCTACGATAACACGAAGTATATTGTCTTCAAAGTAAACGAGGCGTTTTCAAGTGGTGGAAGGAATCCTGTAGTATGGGCGTTTTCCTCATGGAAGGTAATTTGACGTATTACCCTAAACTCTCTAATAAACCCATAGGGAACTAATTTTTACCAGTCATTATTAAGAGGGGGCTAACTGCAGAAGGGGGGGGGGGGATAATTTAAAACTGAAAAGGCAACCGGCCTTGGTAATTTATTTTATTTCATAAATATTCAAATGGCGGCATCACTGAAACACTTGGTGAAGGACAATATCATCATTGTACAGGGCACCGTATTTGTTACACCAGACCCTTGACAATCATTACTAAATACAACTTTTTGTTAAAGAATTGTGTCCTTTTCCAGAGACTGCTTTGCGCAATTAAAACTGGGCCGCAGTTAGTGGGGAGTTGCTTATTAAAGTGCCCGGGTTTAATAACCTTTAGTGTGGGCTTGAAAAAGAGGAAAGCAAACTAGAAAGACCACGGTCATCTTTGACTTTCATGTTTAATTTGATTGATCAAATCGTTTTTAGTGTCAGTTCATACGTTGTGTTTCTACCGTGTCTGACTCAATTTTTAAATAAAGGTCGACAAAAACACGGCAAAAGCACGACTTTTGAATCAAAGTTTTGAACTTGGTTCGGCAGAGCAATTCGACAAGTCTGCCTCGCTACATGACTCTGGTACTCGGCTTATTCCGTGTCGAACTAAATTCATAAATTTCGGAAATAAGTTTTTAAAAATGTATATTTTTGTTTCATTTACTGCTGACTTGATATTTCGTTCATATACTTAAGTTCGACAGAAGCACGACGTGACGTCTCAATTGAAGTCGCGCTTCTGTTATACGTCTGTTGAACCCTTTATAACTGAGTTCAGCACGGTGGAAGCACGACGTATGAATGGGCTTTGAATTCGATTCTTAAGATCTCATGACTTTCTTGCCTTAACAAGTGCTTAATCATTTCACACTCAGAGAAATGATCTATTTTTCAGGGCTCATTTGTAGTGAGAGTCGAGGCTATGGACGATGACCATTTTTCAGATGATCTCGTGGATAGGTATGAACGCAGGATAGCTGTTATTCCCTCATCCTGGGCGTCACCAGTAAAGTGGCAACAAGTAATTCTGGGAGGCAACCCCTCCACGACAGTGCTGCAATACTCTGTACAATGTAATCAAGACTATTATGGGCCCAGCTGTACCACACACTGTGTAGAACGTAACGACGATACTGCGGGTCACTATACTTGCAATAAAACTACTGGTCACATTATTTGTCGAGTTGGTTGGCATGGGTCGAGCTGTAAGGTATACTGCACACCCCATGATGATTCTATACACGGGCACTACACGTGTGAGCCTGGTACAGGAAGAAAGGCCTGTCTGCATGGCTGGTATGGCTCTAGTTGTAAAGTGCATTGTTTGCCTAGAAATGACTCTGTGGCGGGTTACACTTGCAATTCGCAAGGACAAAAGGTTTGTTTGCAAAATTGGTTCGGAAAAAATCACTGCAATTTGTATTGTAAGCCAACCAATGATTCATCCTCAGGTTATACGTGTGACTCAACTGGGAAAAGGTTGTGTTTGAAAGGTTGGTTTGGTCCATCATGCGATTGTAATCCCAAAAATGATTCGTCTATGGGTTATACGTGTAACACTACCACTGGAAAAAGAGAATGCCTGGTGGGATGGTTTAGAAGGAACTGTGACGTTTTCTGTTTGCCAAGAAACGATTCGATGGGCCATTTTACTTGTCATATTGACACAGGAGCAAAAGAGTGTTTACCAGACTGGTTTGGTGAAAACTGTAATGTGCATTGTAAATCTCGCAATGATTCACTTGGCCAACACGAGTGCACAGTTAATGGAAGCGTTATATGTTCTCGCAATTGGTACGGTCGGAACTGTACCGTGTATTGCGTTGCGAAGAATGATATTGAAGGTCATTATAGTTGTCATCCACAAACAGGACAAAGGATTTGTCACCAAAACTGGTATGGAGAAAATTGCAGCGCAAACTGTGTTCCTCAAGATAACGACTGGCTTGGTCATTACAACTGCAATAAGACCGACGGCAGTAAACAGTGTCATAGCAACTGGCATGGACCGCGCTGCACTCTCTTCTGCGCACCTCGCAATAATTCTGGCGGACATTACTTGTGCGAAAAGACTAATGGTAGCAAAGTTTGTTTGGAGAACTGGTTTGGAACTGAGTGCAAGAGGTATTGCAAAGCAATGAATAACTCACAAGGACACTACTATTGCAGTGCTGAAGATGGGACCAGGATATGTCACAAACACTGGTATGGGCCAAACTGTACGGTGTATTGCGCACCAAGAAATGACTCCAAGGGACATTATCTGTGTGATCATAGCGATGGCAGTAAGATGTGCCACACCAACTGGTACGGTCCGCACTGTTCTACCCACTGTGCTCCAAGGAATGACTCCAAGGGGCATTATGATTGCGGGCCAATAGACGGATCTAAGATTTGTCATCAAGACTGGTATGGTGCTAACTGCTCCGTAAGGTGTGTCTCTAAAGATGATGCCACTGGCCACTATACCTGTGATGTCTCTGATGGAAGCAAGTTGTGCTACAAATATTGGTTTGGCCCTAACTGCACGATATTCTGCAGACCACAAGACAGCTATCAAGGACACTACACCTGCCATACGGAAACAGGTCACAAGGTGTGCATTGAAGGGTGGGAAGGAGAGGAGTGTCTTCACAGTAAGTTTATGACAAATCATTTGCATTATGACGTCATATTACTTTTGTTAGCTGTACGCATAAGTAAGACTCGCAGGAAATCCCTTCCGCAAGCATAACAAGCAAAACGAAAGACAACTGGCCCAGCCTTTCCTGATTCCCCTTAATCAATTTATAGTGTTCATGGCTGCAATTTCATTTGTGACGTGGGAATCAAACTGACTGTGGTAAAGAAAACGCACTTCATTTGAGTGTCAATGTATCTTGCACAAAAGCACTGATTGACGACTCTGTTTTGCTTCTCCTCATATCGACTGAACTAGGTCTTGCGCTCTATCGACTGAAGGAGTCCAGTGTCAGGACGGATTACTGAAAATAATGACTTATGTATGGAATGGCAGGAAAGGAGGTGCTTTTTAGCCAGCCTTATTAAAAAGGGCCATATTAATTGCTTTAAAAATATTTACCAATCGTAATAAGGATGGTAAAAAAATACACTTTTAACCAAGAATCGACAAAACAAAACGAAAACCCCCATAAAAGCCGTTTAGCCGAAACCGATTGTGGCCATTGCACACATTTTACGCCTCCTCCTGATGAATGGTTACGAAAGTTACAAATTTGCAAGACTAGATATGAGTTGTTTATAGTCTCTCTTTTCAACCAATATGAATTCCTCCAGATTGATTTTGAAATGTTCATTTTGTTATTCTTTCAGGAGTTACTACTGGTCCACCTCAAACAGCGTCTCCTCCCACTACAGCTCCCAGGTTAGAAAGCACAGAGATCCGCTTTACATCCAAGCTACCCTCTGATAGCGGAATACTTCCCATAGAGAAACAAAGCAAAAGTAAAGCTCGGAGAACGTGGATGACAAAAACACGAATCGGTTTGATCAGTGGCGGCTTTGCTCTTCTTTTATGCCTCATCACTATAGCTGTGATTGTTCTTTTGAGGTAAGCATACACTGTTAAAATATCAAAAAACTTTCGCTTTTAATAAAAGCTGTGTAAAGTAATTTGCGAACGTCTATTGAAATAAAATGTGCTCTGTATGATTGGCGTAAAAGGCGCGCCTGTGAAACGGACACAACAACATAGGAGTAAACTGTTGAGTGTGAAGACGCGGGGAGTCATCAAAATGTTGTCGGTATTATTTTATCTTTCGTAGGACGCCTGCTGTGATTGGCCATTTCAGGGGACCGTTCGGTTTCACTGTGCGGCACGCTTTATTCAAGGTTTTGGTCATAATGAAGTATTGAGTCGATTATGGTTCTCACGTTAGTCATGATATCCTTTAGCTGTAGATCACGACACCGTAAGCAGCCATTTCAGTATAAACGGCAACACAATGAGAAAGGAAATGACTTGGGAAGTTCACTGGACAGACGCCCTAGTGGTAGAGTGAATCCGTCCACCGACGTACTTTCTCAGTATGAGATGAACGACATGTTCTTTAAAGTCCAAGAGGTTTCTTGGTAAGTTGACAACAACCTTAGGTAAAGTTGTAGCCTGAGAAAACAGCCGACATTTGGCGACACTACCACTGGTTTCTCCGCCAAATGACGTCTGAGAAACAAGGGCAGAAATTCCACACTGATGACGCGTCATTACCCAGATCTGGGTAGTGCTTCTGATTGGACGTGCCGCGTGGGAAATTTGATTCAACCAATCAGACGCAGTATGGAATTTCTGCGCTCGTTTCTCACTGAGAACAGACGTCATTTGGCGGGGAAACCAGTTTTAGCGTCGCCAAATGTCGGCTGTTTTGTGAGGCTAATAAAGTTCCGAAAGTCATGATTTCGAGAGTAAAGATACATCTTCCGTTTGCTTTTTTGGTACTTTGTAATTGGCTTGGGAAACATGAAAGAAAATATTATGCTTTATCTTTTTCGTTTTATTTAGGGGCGAGGACGGCTCAAGGCAAGTAGAGGACCACCTAGTCATGTACAACAACCCCCTGTTTACCAAAAGAGATAAAATCAAGAGCTCTGTGAGCACAAGGCAACTGGCTCTGGATAGTGAATGGAATGTGGTGTTTGATTTATAAACGGGTGCATATTTAGTCTCGAGAGGGCTTATCGCCTGTAATAGTTTGTAGCTCACTGTAAAATTGAGTTTAATTAGGATTAAATTATGTTGTAAAAATATATTTTATTTAACTATGGAAACAATATTACCTTCAATACTTTATATTACTGAAATTGAAATATTATTGACATAATGACGACAAAGAGAAATTAGATTAAAACGCTATTGGTATTGTTAAAAAAACTCTGTACATATTTTTAACATATGAAAGCTTGTTAATTTACATCAATTTTCCAAGCCTATAAAATGAAACAAAAAAGAGAAAAAATTAGAAAGAGTTGTACGACAAAGTCTGTATTGGATTGAATATTACCCTAGCCTTTATCTGTTTGACAATGGGGTCAAATGGTTGTGGTCCATGTCGAACACTTTTTTTAAAGCTGATTGTTCAGTAAACAAGCACTTTCAAGCTATGAGGCATGCGCAGCTTTGTTCTCCTCGGCTCTCCTGAGTTTATAAGATAATTGATGAAACTTAATTCCATTATAAAAATTTCGCGATTAAAAGATTACAAATACAAAAAAAAAATTCAATTTTACAGAGAATTACATGGATAGTTCATTATTTATCTGAACAATTAATAATGTCAGCTGTTCTAGTACCTTGGTGTCTTCTTTCTCGATGAAATGCTCACTATTGGTTTCCTTTATGGTTTCCTTTTTTTTCACAATACACCGTATTCACAAATGGCGGACACGCGGGAAAAAACTGGTGCCTAGTCATGAAAGCGAGGCGTTGGAGGGTAAACAAAAATTGCGAATGAAGACTTTCAGTGAACTTGCAGAGTGTTTAGCACGGATTCCACCTAAAATAACTTTGTAAGGACTTCTTTTTAAATACAATTACGTGGGATGTCTTCTACTTTTAATGTTTAGTATTGATTTGCTGTTTGCAATCAAAAGGGACGCGTATATCTTCAAAGAAACAGGATGATTTTGTAGGTTTCCGAAGCATCAGAAGCTCGACAAGTGGGCGATGGTTGGAGAAAAGCGGCAAACATGTTGACCAAAAGTTCACATTGAAACCGAGTTCGAAAGCCAGCTCACTGCAATTCGGTAAAACAGAAATATAAACAATGCAAATCTTGGTGGCTAGAAAAAAAGAAATAAGCGATGGATATATGACCTACTTGTTAACGTAAGGGACGTGTGCCATTGAACAAAACAGTTCAAATCGAGATGGAAAAGAGGAAGACAGGAACGAAGCGGTGACTGAGGTTTCGATTAAGTTATGTTTGGTGTTTATTTGCCAGGACGTTATTCTCTGGTCTTTATCAATGAAGGACATCAATTAGAACTATCTTTTTGGTATAAATGCAGGAGCGATCGAGTGGAGTACGCTCAAAATTTCAACTTGTTACTCGGCAGACTCGGTAAGCCGGCCACATTTGATTTCAGCGAGTAAATTTCCTATTTCGTATCTTTGGCTGTTAAGAGTTTTAACTTCATGTTCCATAATATTTTAAAAGTGAAGATTACATAAATAAATAAAATGATGGTCTTCTTAAACGGATCCAGACTCGCATTTAATGATTCGAAACAGAAGCTTGCCGTGTTCAGTCCTGACACAAACATTGCCTTAAAAGTTTGACCTAGTAAAATGTGAGCTTTATACCACTTTTTTACCAAGAGCTCTCCGAGATAATGCCGTAAAGGAGACTTCGCAAATAGCAAGCCATAAGATTCACACACTAGAGCTTCTAGTTTTGATAAAATGATTTTATTTCGCAATGACAAAGAAATCAAAAGATTTTATATTTGCACTGAATTTGCTAAGCTCTGCCAACGTACCTCTAACAATTCACTCCAAAGCGACGGAATTAATATCATCCAAAGGAAGTTGTAAATACAGACATACATAGATATGTATAAAATGACACTAACATGAATGAATGAGTCTCGTGAATGAATCTTTCACCCGCTCTCGACTTGACCTGTTTTGAGTAATGGCGGAGGTCTCTTCCGTTGACAAGTAGGCCATATATCCGTCGCTTATTTCTTTTTTTTCTTGCCACCAATATCTGTTTTTACTTCTGTTTTACAGAATTGCAGTGAGCTGGCTTTCGTATTCGGTTTCAGCGTGAAGTTTGGGCCAACATGTTTGCCGCTTTTCTCCAGCCATCACCCAATTTTCGAGCTTCTGAGGCTTCGGCAACCTACAAAATCATCCTGTTTCCTTGAAGATATACACGTCCCTTTTGATTGCAAACAGCAAATCAGTACTAAACATTAAAAGCAGAAGACGTCCCACGTCATTGTATTTAAAAAGACGTCCATACAAAGTTATTTTAGGTGGAATCCGTGCTAAACACTCTACAAGTTCACTGAAAGTCTTCATTCGCAATTTTCTTTTACCCTCCAACGCCTCGCTTTCATGACTAGGCACCAGTTTTTTCCCGCGTGTCCGCCATTTGTGAATACGGTGTATGCGGTTTCCTATTTCATCTGAGACAAAATTCATTGGCCCTATGAATGATTAACTTCAACTATGTTCATTTCTTTTCTTAAAATTAAATTAAAGCCAATTTGATAGAATAAATATTACAGTCAAATTTATTTCTATTTCTAGTTCATAGTAACTGGTAACAATGCATACAATAAAGTTACAGAATTTCATTGAAGTAGACTGACTGATAAGATACAACAAAGGGAAGCGGTGCGCGGAAAGCAGTGCACGGAAGCTTCAAAATGGAATCGCACCTACATTCTACGATAGCCAGGATTATGTTCATGGTAAAAAACTAGAACCACCGTTTACAGCACTTTAAAGCAAAGTTCTGCTTAAAGAGGGCAAGCAAATCGCGTTTTCTTCGGTGCTACCGTTGAAGTGAGCGAGAGCAAGAGCGATCCCGACAGTGCGCTTAATTTGTTGTGACAAACATTCCATTTTTAAAACAAAACATCAATTTAAACCTTTGGTGACGGCCAGCTGCAACTACACAGGGCACAAGCAGAAGTTAGTAATAAAAACGAATTTTTAACCAAATGCTCCTTTTTGAATCTGTTTTCTGCCAAAAGGAGACATTACTGTTTACAATCATTGTTTTTGTTATTCAAATTTGTAACAAGTGAAACAAAGGAATCCTCTTTTTCAAAAACCAAAGCGCTTCTGCCTGAGCATCGCTTTTACATGTAGCTTTAAATGGCTAAAAAATAATATTGCCATCTCTAAAGACTTATTTTATCCCGCTGCAGGTAATTTAATAAGCTTTATTTTGTTTTGAGAGAATTTATACCTTCTGCCCTTAAAATGAAATATAAATTTTAATTAGAGTCAAAAATTTAGTCAATAAAATAAAAGTGTAGTTACTTTAATACAGAAAAATAAACTTATATTTCAACTTTTAAGTGATTGATGAAGATTTTCGCATGGAGAAGAACATTTTATTATGTCAATAACTCAATTTTCCACTTAATGGAAATGAAGCTGAATCAAGCAGTCGAGTGAATAATGAAACACTTTTGCAGCAGAAAATATTAATAAAGACAAGGTTATTAATAAACTCACTTTCCACTTATTAATTTGAATCAGATTTTTTAAATTAAAAATGGTGCTTACAAAGATTATGTAACTGTTATATTTCAAAAGTTTCTGAAAGTAAAACAAATCAATAAATAACAAGAAATTCGACGGGAAAAACGCATAAACATTTTTACGGTGGACATTAAACAAAATAGAGCTATAAAACGGAGCATAATATGTTCCCAGTTGTATCTACAGTCCCTACAGCTTTTAAAAGGAAGCTCAAGACCCATCTCTTTACAGGACGCATTCTTGTGACATTTCTTTATAGCATTTCTTAGCATTTTTATATCATTTTTTTAAATAGCATTTTTTAGCATTATAGCATTTAATATTCTGATTGATGGCCGATCGTAGCGATGCGTTAGTCTACGCACGAACTGCCATCTACAAGGATCAACGGAGCCGACCTTGTTCTCCTAACCGATGTTCTATTGTGTTCGATATGAGCTCGATATGAGGTCAAATCATACGAGGACGTTGATCTTATCAAACTGATGTTTTTATCTACTTCTTGAATAATCGCCTCCCTTTCTTTCGGTGAACCACGCACATCTTTTCGTTCGATGAATCGTACTATACCCCCTTCATTCTTTGTTTCAGGTTTTTTAATCCTCAAAATCTCAAAAACAGCTTTCCTAAAATGGCGGTCTCTGTAGCAGTAAATGAGTGGATTAACCAAAGAATTTGAAAGCATTAGCGTTTCCCCTACGCACCATGACGACATTTTACGAAGTACGGGAAAAAATCTTCCCAATAAAGACAGAATAGCAGCAGGAATGAAGGAAAGAATCAGGGCTACTGTAACCAAAGCAGTAGTCTTCGCCACTCTGTATTCCAGTTTCATTGACACTTCCACGCTGACCTGAGAAATTTGATTGAATTTTCGTTTGCGAATTTCAAGGTACACCTTGAAGTAAAAATATACTATGAGTGCTAGCATACAACATGTGGAAACAGCTGGAATTGGAAAGCTAGTCTGTCCGGTGAACGCTACAGAAATGAGGATTGGGCTCAAAATGAAAACTGTTCCTAAAATCCAAGCTGTGTTTGCCAGCTTTTTTAAGCGGTCTTTAGTCACAATAACTCTGTAGTCCCTCCATCTTCGAATGGCCACGTACCTCTCCCATGCAATTAATGTCAGATGGACAACTGAACAAAATATCAAAGTCACTGTAAAACAGGCAGTTGCCACGTATAGGGTGCAAATATGCTGACGAGAAAGAATTTGATAGGAAAGTAATAGTCCATCTATAGCAGATAACGGCGCACATATACCACCTACTAGAAGGTCCGTAATGGCCATACTTGACAACAGGATGTTGGAGAGTCTCTGCAGTTCTCCCTTTTTCTTGATTGCGATGATTATTAACGCATTCAAAAGAACTGCAGCCTGTGAGATTATAGATGCGAAAGCGGCAAATATCCAAGGAGAAATGGTGTCGTGCACGTCCCATTCTAATTGTGGAACATGTGGACAATAAAACACTGACTTGATCGTATGCAATGACACGATGGTTGGTTCTGTCCCGTTATGGTCCATGATGAAGCCTTTCTAAAACTGATCATAAATCAAGCGCGTTCAAGCTATAAAACAAGCGCAGCTTTCTCGGGTTCTAGTCACCTTTAAAAGGATGAAAATTAATTCCATTGTAAATGTATGGGCTTATTACAAGGTTTTTACAATTTTTTAAAATCTCAAAGAAAATTGTTAACAGGCAGTTACCCTGCTAGTCAATTATCCTGGCCATCTAAACTATTAACAACACCATCTGTCTTGGACGTTTCGCGTCTTCTTTCTTGGCGATCAGATACTCACTTTTTCTTTTCTTCGTGAATTTCCATTTCTTAGTCGGAGTAATTCACAAACTGTTCCTATTATTATTCTTATCTAGGACAGAATCATTAGAGCCTATGATTTTGGCTAATTTCGTTTCTTAATCTAATTTAATTCAATATTTAAAAAGATAACAATCGAAATTTAGATACTAATTGGTAACAAGGGGTTTGGGTAGAAAATTATAGTAAACAATCCAATCAAACCAAACCAGCTGCTAAGTAGCAAGGGATGTCAATTGAATTGAATAATTTTTTTCTAATTTTGTTTTTTATACCTAAATGTGACCAAAATAATTAGTAATAGCTCGTAATGACGTCACTGATAACAATGCATTCAATAAAGCTAAGCGGATACAACAAACAGCGGATACAACAAACAGTAACACAGGAAGGCAGTGCAAGGAAGCCCAAATGACATCGCACGTTCGACAGCCAGGATTGTGCCCAAGTTTAAAAACTATATCCACCGTTAATAGTGCTTTTCAGCAAGGTGCTAGTTAATGGGACACAGTGCATCGCCCTTTTATCGGCGCTAAGAGAAAAAATTACCGTTCAACTGGGAGAGCGCTTTTTTTTACCGGCAGTGTGTTTGATTTCTTTTGATAAAATAAACCCATGCTTTGGCGACGGCCAGCATCACCTACACAGGGCAAAGGCTGTAGTCACAGGACGACCGCAATTTCAATCAAATGCTCCTTTTTGGACCGGTTTTGCGCCAATTAGCATTAAATGGATAAAATTATTATTTTCTACACTAAAAGCGTATTCTTCTGCTGTCTGCCATTTCCGTTTTTAGCCAATTCCTTTTACCCTTCATTGCAAGAAATAAATTTTCATAAGCGTTAAAAATTTAGTCGATCAAAAATAAGTGCAATATCATTGCAGAAAAATAATCACACTAACATTTTTTTTACTTTCGTGTCGTCATTAAATTTTTTTTTACATACAGAAGAACACTAAATAATGCCAATAACTGACCTTTCCACTTATTAAAAATAGCCATCATTCGAGTGAATAATAAAAAAAGCATTCGCAGCATCTAAAGGTTCGTTACAAAACGTTAATCAACAGAGATAGTAAGTGTTGGGCTGAAAGCTTATGTTCCATACGCTCATTTTTTCGACACTGTGGAGTTTTGATTCACGAAGTAAACCATATCAAATGGTAACAATCTCTTAATGTCACCATTTTCGTTTTTTTCCATCTCCTTATTACAACTTTTGCTCTTCATTTCAAGGAAATAAATTGTCCGTAAAAATGACGGTTGATGAAATTAATGTCTGATAGTACTTGTGTGACAGATTAGTTAGTGAGGGCGTTCAATTTTTCTTTAGCTTCACCTCCGAAAATGACAATGTTTCAAAACTAGGATACATTTTTCATTCTTTACAGCGAACGCCCAAGAAGTCTTATTTTCATTAAGTGAATATTCGTTTATGAAAAGAGAATATCAATAACAATAATTATCATTTTAAATTTATAAACATTTTCTTGCAAGTATCGCTTTGGATTTGAAGGCATGCTTTGTTTTACAATAAAAGCCTTGTTTGAGAAATGGTTTAAATGTACATAGTATGTTGCAATCGTATCGTTTCAAGGCTTGTGATTTGCTGACGTGCTTGCACAAACAAACAAGGAGTGAACTGAGTCGGGGAACAGGAAGAAAAAGAAAAATAACAAATACAATAACAACGAGAGTGGTGTAGGTTCACATAAACCAAAACTAGACAAAGTCGAAACAGCGACCATACGTCACATGAAGTTTTCCTCCTACACTAATTACCTCTGTTGGTAATGATAACATGCATATTAACGTTAACGAACATTAAGAAGGTGCAAATGTTGTTTTTATTCTCTACAATGATTGTCATTTCCATTAAGTCAAAATGCTATATACATTATTGAATGTTCCTAGCTTAAAAATCTTCAATGACCACACGAAAGATTAGTATTTTCTGCAATGATTATCATGATTTTACTGACTGCATTTTTGACGCTAATGAAAAATCATTTCCTTAGCAAAAAAGGCAAAGATGTAATGTTTCTTGACCTTACTGACTGAACACTGAATGTACCTTCGGTGAATTTGTGCGTTCTAGCACGGCAGCAATTTTCAAGCGGAAAAATGTAGTGATTGCGACGAACAACTTGCGCTAATTCTGCAATACGTTTCATATTCTTAAACCTCGCCTCCGAATTAAAGCGTAGCTACAAACTCCATTACTTTTTGCCGCCCCAACGAGAGTAGGCTTTTGTACATTATGCCAGCATTTTTTCGAGCATTTTAGTGAGGCAAAAGCATTGAGCATTATTCGAGCATTTTAGTGGCATTTTCCTGGAAAATTAATTTTTCCGAGAAAATAAAATAGAAATTAACCTTTTTCAGGAGCCCATGCCCCACGAGCTCCTGCATTTTTCAAGAAAATGAAGACTAAAACTCAAAATTCACAAAAAACCTAATACAGCTGTTTTTTTTTTGCTGTATTTACGAACTTGTACACGTTGTCGTTGTTACTTGCAACACTTGCACGTTTTTGTGAGTGTAAACTTTGAAATTAATTTTAAAAAACCGTTCGTATAATGAGCATTATCCGAGCATTTTAGTGACTTTTTTAGGGAGACCGAGCATTTTAGTGGGGAAGCAAAAGCATAATGTACAAAAGCCTAAAGGAGAGTTCCCCTATTGTCACCTCCAAAATGCGTCAAACTTTTAGTTTAGGTGTGGGAATAATGAACAGTGTCTAAACGACAAGTAAAGAGGAAACTTGGTCACGTGGTACAAATTCGCGTTCGCCGATTTTGTTTACACTTGATAGAACACGAATTGCAAGAGTTTGTTTCACTGCTTTGAAAAAACTTCTATTAAAGCGTTTTTTCTTAAAATTCTCATTGCAATCGTTGTGTTTTAAATTAGTCTGCCTTCTCCTTTCCTAGAAATCACTGGACGTCAAGAAAAATTTCGGTCGGGTTAAATATCAGTCCTATCTCTTAACTGTTGTCTCTACCCTACGGATCATTACCACCTTTCACACAGACCCTACCAGATAATATGTCTTAATTAACGTGAAGTTATCGGTGATTGGAAAAAAGGTATCAGTAATGGAAGCAATCGTTCTATTTTGTTTGCCAAGTGAAAGGACTTTTGCATTAACAAGCCAGAATAATCAAAATGAATTATGGGTTATTTTCTTTAAAAAAGCAACAAAGGCTTTTTGTTATCCAGCTCTCCTAACTGTGGATGGATGGATTCATATTTTCAGCTCCAAAGGACTCGGAAAATCAGAGGTCACCTAGATACTCCTCACTGAAGCTCGTATTTGTTTGTATAATCTATGTATTTAAGGTCATGCTCCTTTGCTGATGTGTATTTACAACAACTATTCAGGCTATTACAAGGTCAGACGAAGATTATATGTTGACGAACGTTTTGTTACGCTAACTTTATTTAGAAAAAATATAAAAAAATGGGCCTTACAAAAAATGGACACTTATTCCATGCTTGGAGTAATACTTAGAAATATGACATGAAACTGACTATAAATCAAAGAAAAATTTAAATCTTGCAAAAAGATCATTATATCTATGTCAGAACATCATCATTTGTGCTCTGTGATGGTTACTAGGTTTTCAAAGAAAAAAAATTACCCTTGTTTTGCTAAATCATGTGTTTGTTGTGCTAATCAGAGGCCCGTTTTAGATCAATTTTAAGGTAAGAGTCGGTGTATTTCTAAACAACGAAACTGATTTGGCTTTGGCAATTCATTTTCACTTACCAAATACAGAATAAGGGCTTCTTGTCAACAATTTGCTTTGTTTCTGACCTGAATTATGCTCAAAATTCCATTTTGCATTTTCCAAAAATTCAATAAACCATAATAAGCCAAATTTTTCTCAACTGATTTTGATAATTGGGTGACTAAAGTAAACAGTTGTATAGGTATGAAAGTTATGCAAGAAGACAGGTGAATATAATGAAATTTTGAAAAATGGCTATTTTGGGTCGTAATTTTAACATCAATTTTGGCCGAACTCTAGCTCCAGGCTCCTCTCTGTGCAATACCTTGGGGACAAAGTTTCATGCATAAATGGAAGGCTCTATTATAATAGAGTTCATGGTCAAATGCATTTTTCAGCACAATTTACCAGTGGGGTCTTATGGCACTTTTAAAATGCCCCCAGGAAGGCTGGATTTTTGGTGCTCAAAGGGTAAAAAATGAGACCCCCTGTAACTCCAAAACTAAAAGTCAGAGAAGTTCAGCGGAAGTTAGCCAAAGTGGTATTTGAAATATCTCATGGCAACCTGCAACTTCTGTGCCAAGTTTCAGCCAAATCGGTTGACCACAAGTTTTGGCCCCTGGAACACTTTCTCAGACAATGACACTTAAATCACTTAATATTACATTTAATGTCGAACTATTATTGTAGCCCTTCCTGCCATGTAAATTGCAATCTTAGTATCTTCTTTTTTTTCTCTCTGTAATATTTATTTTACGAGGCAAAATGTGTAAATAAATAAATAAACAAAAAAATTTGAATTCCACCTCCAATTCCCCTGTGGCTCCCCGTCGACTGAGCTGTCAGATTTCCGCCAATCAGCGCGAAGCGGAAACGGGCGCGAATGTAAACAAACATTGTAAAACACGTGCTAAAGGCAATGATGTCATTACTAATATTATCTCCGCCAATCAGCATTTCGCCTCGACTTTTTTGATGCAGATATTTTAACTCCAGAGACGTAGTTACAAGCTCTCCTTCCTTTTCCCGCCCCGCCGCCAGAGCGCCCCCCGGAGAGCTTGCTCGCAGGTTACGGCTGGGCTTGCAGCGAGAACAAAGCTAGCCACACCCTTTGGGAAGGGTACCTCTCCAACTGCGACTACCTACAGAAAAAATACCCCAAACTTCAAGAATTAAGAATGGTAAAATCCTTAAACTTGCTTATACGCGAACAGTAAAACGTACGTAACCACGGCCATAACCCTAGATATGACCTAAATGTACCCTCGAAGAAACCGATTAACAACAAGTTCACTTCCTTATATCGAACATTACAGTATTCACTGTTGTCACACCTGCTAGTACGCAACCACTGGTAGAAACAGTACAGAGTAATACCTCAAAAAAATCCTTTAAGTGCCATCTGATATTGTATAAGCTTGCTGAATGACAGCTTTACTCTCCTTGAATGGAAAGGGTAAAAGGTAAACTTTAAGTGGACTGAAACACTTTAAATTTCTTCCGTAAGCAAAGTAACAAGCTTCCTTAAAACAAAGAAAATGCTGACTATGAAATGAACTGAAAATTCAAGGAAACAAATGAATTATTCTTTTCACTGAAATTCGCCTATTGAAAACGCACTTTCGGCAAAGAGAAGATGTACGGAAGTACAAATTTGTTTGAATAGACTTTTGTTTCTAAAAGAAAAAAACAAAGTGGTTGAAAAAGAAGGCGCGAAATTACTCAGTCAGATAGTGCTACTGACGAGACTATACTTCCGATTAATGTTATAGATGGGTAATGAGCTATCCTACCCATTGTCGGTAAACGTGTGTTTGACATAAAAAAAAAAACAACAACAACAACAAAAAAAAGATTTAAATCTTATGACAATAGCAAAACTTTATAATGGAATTACTCTCGTCCTTATAAAGCCAAGGCGCAAAAGGCCGTTTAATTTGCGGTGATGCCTCATAGCCTGAAGGGGCTTGTTGGAAAATAAGATTTAGAGAGACTTCACAATGAATCACAACGAAACAGAAACGAGCATCGCTTTATCGAATACGACCAGGTCGGTATTTACTTGTCCACACGTTCCAGAATTAACATGGGACGTGCATGACACCATTACTCCATGGATTTTTGCTGCTGTTTCTTTTATGATCTCACCCACAGCAGTTCTTTTGAACGCGCTAGTAATCATAGCAATAATGAAAAGAAGAGGACTGCGAACTCTTTCCAATATCCTGTTGGCAAGTATGGCCGTTACCGACCTTCTCGTAGGTGGTATATGCGTGCCGTTATCTGCTATAGATGGATTATTACTTCCCTATCAAATTCTTACTGGTCAGCATATTTGCAAGTTAGACGTGGCAACTGCCTTTGTCACATTTACTATGTCGTATGTTTCACTTGTCCATCTGGTAATCATTGCATGGGAGCGGTACGTGGCCATTCGAAGATGGAGGGACTATAGAAGTATATTGACTAAAGGCCGTTTAAAAAAGCTGGCAGTAATAGCTTGGATTTCGTCAATACTATGCATTTTGATTCCAAACCTCATTTCAATGGTACTCAGAGGAGAGACTTCGTTTTTAGCTCTAGGTTTTTCTACGGCTTGTTTCTTGGTACTCATTGTATATTTTTACTTTATGGTGTTCCTTAAAATTCGAAAACAAAAAATCAATGAACTTTTCCAGGCCAGCATTTTAGTGTCAATGAAAATGGAAAGGAGAGTTGCAATAACCACTGCCATGGTTACAGCAGCCGTGATTCTGTCCTTCGTTCCTGTTGCTTCTCTGAATCCATTAGGAAACGTTTTTCCCGTTCTCTTGAAAATGTCGTCATGGCGAGTGGGGGAAACACTAATGCTTTCAAATTCTTTAGTTAATCCACTCATTTACTGCTACAGAGACCGCCATTTTAGGAAAGCTGTGCTCGAGATTTTGAGGATTAAAAAACTTTCACCAAAAAATGCCCGGGAAATAGGACGATGGCACGAAAAGAGAGATGAGCATGGCTCAAACGAAGCTAAGGTGCAGACGACGCTAGAAGCAGATACAAGTACCCATTTCACGAGATCAGCGTCCTTTGATTCGATCAGGTTTTTTGGTCCAGCTCATATCGAGGCAAACAGAACGTCGCTAAAGAGAAATATGTCGGCTCCTTTGATCCTTATCGATGGCAGTTCGTGGAAGTAGACCATCGTGGTCCATCTCTTCAGGAGCGTTCGAAACACGGTGAGAAGCGGGCAGCATGATTCAGAACTGCTGACAAAAAAAGGGAAGAATCCCCTTGAACGGTGACGACGTGGAATTTTTTTTCTTGTTTAACTGTGTAAACATTCGAAAATAGAACAACTACATCGCTACAAGCCGATCAGTCTTTCAGGCTTATTTAAATTAAGAAGAAGTTTTAAACGATGTCGCTAGCACTTCTTACTGTATCAATTTCCATTGTAAAATTTCTAAAATCTATGATAACCGCAGTTAGCGGTCGCGGTACCTTTAAGGGCAGTTTGGAGTATTCAGGCAATAAAATACCCATTTGTAAGTCAACTAAATAATCCATTGAAAATTGTAAGCGCTAGTTTATTTGTTGTTTTAGAACTGGTGCATCTTAGAAGTGAACATAAAGATACCTATGAGAAGTGTTCTCAGAATTATTCGCGAGATCCCCCATTAGTTTTGTTTGGGAAGTAGGGAAGTACTCTTGGGATATCAATTGAGCTTGACCTGGGGGGGGGGGTGGGGGGGGGTGTGAGTTTTTATACAGGAATAATCAAGGCGTTTTACCTTGTCAGCTATGCAAACCTTGAGCTCAAGGTATTAGTTTGTTTGTTTGAGGGGCAAATGCCACATCCGCTTTTCGGTCATACACTAATGCCAGTGTCTGCTTTGAACACCGTTTCTTAGGTTTTGACTTAAGAAATTTTGTTTAGTCCTTCTAAGGCTACAAACAGTCCTGTTTAGTGAGAGTTTATTTTACTGATATTGGACACGACCGAAATTTTGCTTATCTAGTGATTTTTAGTCCGGTAAGGATTGAAGCAAGAATTGTAACAAATTTGACAAAAAAAACCCCAGTTTTTTGAAGCCGTCCTACAGACGTGTAAAATACGAATTAGAAAAGAGGGATTCACTCCCCCCCCCCACCCCCCTCACGCAAGGGGTGGGGTGAATAAATGAGAATATAGGTTTCTTTCCTCGAAGGAAAAAAAAAAGATATAAGAAGCGATGGCAGACAAACTTGCCTCAAAAACGCAAGCGCACTGACCAAAGTGCCGATCCATGGGGGCAAATATGTGTAAATTTCGGGCAAGAAATCGCTTAAGTCTTTGACGACTACTTCGTTCGTGTTGCGTCCATTTGGATCCAGGCATAGTTTCCTCCCTGGACCCATTTAGCTTTCCATTCAAGCAATTACGGTGGTAAGCAGCAAAATCAACTAGGATAGATCTTTCCAACATGTCCAAAGGTACCTCATTTGCCGGGCTCCTAGCTGTCTTGACACATTGACAGATACCGCAAAATAAAAATAGTAGTACCGGAAAATAAAATATTCGGGGAAAGAATCCACTTCCAGCTTTTCTATTCAACTCCCACTCTTTGCAGATTAAATTTTCCAGGACGTTAACCAGCCAAAGCCCCTCGGAAAGAAAGACGATTAAGTGGGCAACAAAACTCGAAAGAAAGTCAAAGAGGAAAAAGAGGGCGAGAAAAAAGATCAAGATAGATTCGCAAAAATAAGTCCAAAGTCTTACTTAGGCACATACGTGAAAACAATAAAGCTGCTTAATTAGTTAATCCAGTTAGCAGCAAATTATGCTCTTGGTGTAGCAAATCCCATTTACGTCCATTTAAAGTCATTGCCAGGCTAGCTGAAATGGATTTGATCAACAATGCGGCGGTTTTCGCCACTAAATGGCTGCCGCAAAAGGGTCAAGTTATTTTAGTCTAAAATACAAGAAAAAGAAAAGAAAAGAAGCTCTGTTAAATGATCGACGTGGATCATAATTTTAGACAACCGCGTTCCTGAGATGTCATGTCACTCATTTTAAAATTAAAATAGTGACTTGGTTTTCTTTTCTCATATAATATACCCCGTAATATTTTGTGACTTTACGCACCAGTATCAGAAATCACAGTATCAAAGAGAATAATGAGGCCTAAACATTTCGAAAACTATCCACAGCCCTATCCTGCGCCGGGTACTTGCTCACTTCCCCCCTGAAACAACAGACTTTGGCCCCTAAAATCTCGAAAACACAGTGATACAGCTACTTATTTTAGAGATATCTAGAACAGTCCAAACAAAGATAATCCGGTTATTAGACTTGCGTTGTTATCATCTCAGGTGACAATAGAAATCACATCAAGTGTCAAGTCAAGTATCTTATTGGAAAGATAAAATTGAATTATATATTGTGAAGGTGAGAGCTGTTTTGAATAGAAGGCGACATCAAGTCGAGCTGCGCGTACGTTTGTCAAATTCGTCACAAGCTGTACTCTACAAGACCTATCTTGTCTATCTTGCTCTTGTAGTCAGGAGCTCGACAATTTGGACAACCCTTACAGTACGTCTCACCTCCAGTCCAAGGCAAAATGCTGTGGTCATTTCTCACTTCTGCCGCTGTGCTGCTGACGTTTATGGTAAGTTTTGTTCCCGCGAGGGCTACTTGGGCCAATTTTTGCTGCTTATGTGCCGCCGGCCTCTCAAATCCGAATCCCATTAAAGTCTACTTCTTGGCCAGTTATAGACCCTATCTTAGTCACTTTTGGACAAATGTAAATTCGGCGATCCCAACTTTGTAATCTTCTGTTTGTGCATCTGCCTTATCAAGCCTTTTAACTGGGTCTTCCGGGAATGAATTGAAACATTTGTTCAACTAAATGCAGTGAAAATCTTCCTAATTAAATCTCTACTAACCTGAATTTTCTGACCCCAAAATCCCGAAAATGTGCCACCCCATTCTGGTAACTCTATTGATTATAGTCAACCCAGTCGTGAAAATTTGACCCCATCCAGCGGCACACCCCCATTAGCCTATTATTAGGAGGTACCCCCCCGGGTTTTGTTCCACAGAGGTAATTTCACTTTGAAGAGCTTGGATGCTTGTTGTCTCGTTCGGGAGCGTAAATTGAGGAATTTGAAAAGAAAAACGAAAAGAAACAAAGACAGATAGTACGATAGATAGAAGAACAAAGTCCACGACAACGTATTGGGTTGAAAATTACCATGTCTCTTATGTATCTCTTATGTACAATGTTATCTAATAGAAGTCAAATAAAGATTGCGGCATGCGCAGATTGGTCTAATATAGTGGTTTACATTCAACTCTTTCTCTTATAAGACGGACATATTCGATAGGGACCGACCAGCCCCTTCGGTCCATCTTATGGATATTCGAGGTAACGTGACACCAGTAAAATATTAAGCTGCACTCAGTTCGCAATGAAGGCACGTCTGTTTAACTCATGCAAAACAGCTAAAACTGGAACATCGGCATCCTAACAGAAAAGTGGAATCATTTTCTTCTTGTTGTACAATCAAACGTTCACACCTTTGTGGTCTAAAAGCGTAACTGTAAACACTCTGCAAACTGGAGAAAGACTACAAAATGTTACAAATTTTGCAATTTCTTCTCATGTAAAGCACCTACATTTCCGTTTTGAACTATTTTTCACTGCAGAACTCACTTCTCAAGTGTCCGTTACCGGTTTCAAAAGTGTCCGTTGTTCGTCTTAGAGAGGTGTCCTTCTTATACAGAGTATAGTTACAGTAAATGACTGAAAAATGACAGGGAACAACAACAATAATAATAATAATGATAATAATAATGATAATAATAATAATAATAATAATAATAATAATAGTAATGATAATAATAACAATAACACTTTATTTAACGAGGGTAACATCAATTACTGATGACTCAGTAGTTTACATAATGGCCCTCCCTAAGCTAGTCTAATAGAGCTGTTCGTTAAGAGAGTTCTGACTGTAATTCCAATTTTCCCACCCCTTTTTAATGCATAGGTGTCCCCTCAGGTTTTATTTACGCCTCGCTGTGTTTTAAGCTGCTGAAGCTTATTCATTGGTTAACAAGGGAATTATTACACGGACTCAAACAAGAGTTTATTGTTTTGCTCATTTGTCCTAAACATTTGATATTAATAGCAATGCTCTGTTACAATCGTGTTTTCTCGGGTGTCATTTTTCTTTTTTGAGCCTTGTCGGGTGTTAATAAAAGAACCCTCCAGAGTGGCATAGACCGGTAAAATGATAACCACTCGGGACCAAAGTGATACTTAGGTTAAGATACGAGAAATGCAATCGCTCACGTAAAGTCTAACCTAAAAGAGGACCGTGTAGGACTCTGCTATGGCGACTGTAAACGGAATTTATTAAGCGGCGGTGCAGGTGCATTTTTGAGTCGAGCAAGCACTCTGAGACTTTCACAAGGTTGAGATCTCGGTCAATTTTCTTCTTCAAGTTCACTCGTTCTCCGGGTACCACACAGATACCACACAGATGCAATAAGCTCATTTACGTCTTTTCTTTCACTTGGCAAATTTGCCAAAAAAAAGAGAAAGGAAAATTGAGACTGTCGCCGATGACACTTTTCATCAAAAGAGGAAATTCTAGAAAATTCTTTGTTCGCGGTAATTATAGTCCTCTATCTTCGCGAGAAATCAAGATGTCTGCAACTCAATTTTAATCGGCGCTTAAATTTCAAATGTGTTTTAGGGCTTAACATTGGCAAAGAAAGTTGTTTCCGGAACAAAAGTACGTTATTTATTTGGCTTAGGAGGTAGACGGATAAATTTGTAGCAAAATTCATTTTAAAAATATTCTAACGAAACATTTTCGGCTAATCGACAGGATAAAAAAAAAAAGAGTTACAAATGGGTAAACTAAAAATAAGCAACTGATTCAGCTTGCTTGTAATGGAAACTGT